GTGGCAGAGAAGTATGTTAGTTTGGTGCAGGACATGTATGAGAATAGTACAACAGTAGTGAAGTGTGCTGTTGGAAGGACAGATTACTTCAAGCTGGAGGTGGGACTACATCAAGGATCGGCCCTGAGCCCCTTCTTGTTTGCTTTGGTGATGTCTTGTTTGCTTTGGTGATGTCCTTTGGAGGAGTCCCCATGGACTATGTTGTTTGCAGATGACATTGTGATATGTAGTGAGAGTAGGCAGCAGCTGGAAGAGAACCTAGAGAGGTGGAGGTTTGCACTAGAAAGAAGAGGAATGAAGGTCAGTCACAGCAAGACAGAGTACATGTGTGTAAACGAAAGGCAGAACAGTGAAATAGTGAGGCTACACGGGGCAGGAGTTTAGGTACTTAGGATCAGCTGATCAGAGCAGTGGAGACTGTGGAAGAGAGGTGGAGAATAGAGTGCAGACAAAAGTTTTAGGAGTGATCTGTGATAGAAGAGTGTCAGTTAAGGTGAAGGGAAAGGTTTACAGGACAGTGGGGAGCCCAGCCATGATGTATGGTTTAGAGACAGTAGCAATAGGCAGAAGACAGGAGGAGGAGCTGGAGGTGGCAGAGTTAAAGATGCTAAGATTCTCTTTAGGAGTGACAAGAATGGACAGGATCAGGAATGAGGTCATTAGAGGGACAACACAGACAGGAAGGTTTGGAGAAAAAGCTAGAGAAGCCAGATTGAGATGGTTTGGACATGTGCAGAGGAGGGACAGTGGATACATTGGTAGAAGAATGCTAGAGATGGAGCTATCAGGTAGGAGAAAGAGAGGAAGGCCAAAGAGGAGATATATGGATGCAGTGAGGGAGGACATGCAGATAGTTGGAGTCAGAGTAGAAGATGCAGAGAACAGGGCAATATGGAAATCAACGATTCGCTGTGGCAACCCCTGAAAAAGGGACAAAGCCGAAAGAAAAAGAAGAAGATTTTTATCTGCCTTTCTATATGGACAAATACAGTTGGACGTCTGTATTTGCTACGTGTTTTCTACGTGTATTAGGATTTACTCTATGTGCATCATTGTTGTTCTTTCCTCAGAGGTTTTAATGGATTTTATTTTTCTTTTGGGGGGTCTAAATTGAATCAGTAATAATGCTCAGGATAGATTAACATGGGTCAAATATTTCTTGTCTCTTCATTAAAAATTTTTTTGTATTAGTGCTTGGAGAACTGCTAAATATGTGATTGGTGAGTTTCAATTTGTCCCTAAATAAAGAGTCCAAATGTTAAAAGATCATCCATATTCACTCCCACTTATGGTAGGCAGAAAGTCAAAAAGTCCATTATGAGGAATATTCAAATTATATGTAACATTTCAAACCCAGAGTGATGATGATCCATGACCTGTCTTGTTGTTACTGTAGGGGTTTATTCATTGGTATCACATATGATTTAAGAACAATTAATTTATGTGTAACAATATGTTCCCTGGTCCAGTGGCTACTTGTATTGAATTGAAATGACTGGAGATTAAAAATGTCCAAAACTGACTTTATCACTGGTTATACAGCAGTTAAAGCCTTTACAGTCTATTTTACATGGTTTAAAAATAGACCTGGATTACTGCTAGGGAATAAAAGTTATTTTTTATTTTCCTCAAATTAGATGCTATAATAAGAGAAAAAAGGTTATGTCTACTTCTGTGGGCTAATTTTCACTGCTGATAGCGTCCATGGCAGTTGGCTACATGCTGTAGGATATAGCAACATCTAGTGGTGAG